ACTGGTCCAATTCTTTGATTAAGAAGACATGTGACTGTTCAAATATGACTGTTTTAGACGTGAGACAATTTTGTTGCATCTACAGTGGAGGGCCAGTAGTCTGCAGTGTATTACTTGATGCACCAATGTCGTTTTCATTGGACTAAATGACTCCACAGTAGAAACTTCTATTCCTGGAAATGTTATTTTTGTTTTGTGTAGTGTTCTATTTTATTCAGTAAAATCCTTTTATTCAACAAGCTGCTCCTGTCTGCTTTCTTGTGTGAATTTTCAGTTCAATCTGCATCAGAGTCGAACTGTGTGACTTTCTTTTGTTTCAATTGCTCTTTCATATTTTCTTCACTGTTATTTCTGTAGTTGTAGACATTATGAAAAGTACTACTTTAAGTAATTTTATGATTGTATCTGGCTCTAATGTTTCCTAATGTTTTATGTTGAATAGCAGTGGAAAAGTCCCCTTTTACTTTATTGCAATTTTACTTTTAATTTAATTTCAGCAAAAATGTTATTTTCAATTCATTTATTTCTTAGTTTTAATGTTTTTATATAATAATTACATAATGTTTAACATTATTTCTTAAACCGCTACCATTTGATTTTTGTATTTCAGCATTAGCATTTGAATGTTTATCATAAGCTTGTCTGATGTTATATCGGAAGAAAATATTTAAATATATTACTGTAAATGGACACATGAAGGAAATTCACTGCAGCTGTTCTGCTGCTGAAGTGCACGATTTAGAATCACAGAACACAAATTAAAGATAATATATTCAAATGTTGTTTTATTAGGAAAATGCCTTTATGTTTTTTTACAAAATGATAACATCAATTCTCAGCTTAAGTTGTCATCATAAGCTCCCCCCACATGCAGTGTCCAGTACGATAAACCAAACAGGCATCTGTCTCCATTTTTTCTTCACATATTCAACAGAGCAAAGCAGGAAGTGAAGCGATGCATTGTTTATTGATGAGATTGCCTTTTCTTGTCCAAATAGTCAATGATTTTTTGCACCCCTGGATTCCCTTCAGGAGGGACGACACACAGTTTCATGTTTCTCCGGTTGACAAACCTGCAAAGGCAGATGGATCCATAAATGAAAACTCTAACACCAGAGTCTCATTTAATAAACTGATTTATGATGAAATTGATCAAGACTTACACAGTAGCACTGATTTTGCAGCCCTCTCCTGCTCTCTGAATGGTGTAGCTCACAAGGTTTCGGCGGTGCAGACGTTTTTCACTCTCAACTCTCAGGCAGCAGTCCACAGCAATCTCGGCTGATAGAGGGCAAAAACAATATTTGGATGAAAAAGAGCCTAAGAACTCGAAATCTAAAAACAGTGTTTCTGCAATATAGAATAGAATATAGTAACAAAATATCTTTATTCTTACCTGCAGCAAACTCAAAGCAGATGAGACCTATCAGGAGCAGAGCTGCAACTTTGGAGGCCATGTCTCTGTCTTCTTGGGTCAGATCTTCTCCTGGCTGGTTCAGCAAATCTCTTCCAGGGTGGAAAAAATACTGCTGTGATGGGCTGGTGCAGGTGCATTTATACAGGTGTCAACAGAAAGCGAAACTTTAAACAGTCCTCATTGATTGGAAGTGGAAGACGGCTGGATCCGCACTCACCAACCCCCAGGCACTATCTTAAATCTTCCACACTTCGAAGCCAAAAACTCCCTAAACATTGTTTTTGCATGCTTCCTGGAATGCAAGCTTGACTCTAGACAGAGCAACAGCTCGCGGTGCCTTTTATTAAGACATCTGCAGAAAAACGGTTAATGCAATACAACTAAGCAGAGGAAGTTCTTTGCAATGAGATGCGATTATTCAAAAAATATTTTGTTGGTGAAGTTGAATAGAATAAATGTAAACATCTTTTTAATCAGAAGATTGTTTATTAGATAAGAGGGGGAACCAAATCAAATATTAAGAAAATGACAAACGTAGAGCTTGCAGCAGTAGCTGCTTTTTTCCAGAAGCTGTGGATTGTTTCATGAAGGAATAATAAAGCAGTGAGTTAGGATGGATATTATAGATTTTTGACCGTTTAGACCCTTTTTTATTTATCCAATAAATTAAAGCCAGAAATTCAGCCACATATTAACATTTGTATAACTTTGCGGTATTATGTGATAAAAGGATGGGCCACACCTTGTTTTCTTCAGCAGACAAAATCTGTTCCAGTGTGGGAACCTTTACAGAAATCTGCACTTAAGTAAAACCAAAAATGCTTTGAAATCAAAATAAAAATCTAAGTCTGTTGGTTTAGTGATATGTAACTTTTGTAAGGATGCTGCATGCCTGCTTCTTTACAGTAGAGCTTCGCTAATACAGTTTATTCTAAATATACGTTAATGTCTTGTAGTTGGATCAGGTTTTGGTTCTGCACAGATGGATGTTTAGATATTTGGTTTTAGTACCAACTGGTGCATTTTACCTGTAACCTTGTAAAGATTTGGTGCTGCTAGGCAGATGATACTTTCTCTGCCTTTGCACTAAAACTAATCACAGTAACATTTACAAACTCCACAGGAAATAAAAAACAGATCTTGATATAAAGGCTTTGCCTCCTTAAGATAATGAAATTGGGACTTAGTTCTTACATATATAATATCTTCTCCCTCACTGTTTTGTCACCTTAAATCAAACTGTTTTAATTTGACTTTATTATGTCTAGAAACACTTTTTTTTTTACTTAGCCTACCTAATTGCTTATTTCATTTAAAGTTTTTTACTTTATGGTTTATTTTATATTGTTTTATCTATTGCACCTGTTCATTTATGTGTCCATTTATTTCTTTTTAATGTCAAATTTACTTTTCAAAGCTGCTGTTCTACTCCGTATTTTTCATTTTAATTTGAACCATTTCATGTTGGTATTTAAAATGTTTTATAATTCAATAAATTTTTTTTCTTCTATGTCAGCGATTTTCTTCCTTTCTCTCCTTTATATCAATTACTTTTCAGAAGCAATTGAATATAGGCTAAATTTATTGCTGTTATTTTTTTTTGTATTATTTTATAATGCTTTATACCTTGGTTTTTCATTTATTTCTTTATATTCCAATATAAATACTTGTATGGGTCCTTTCTTAACATATCAGTATTTTTAAGTGTCTCTGAAAATACATAAACATATGAACCATCATATAAACCAAAATATGAATATAGAGCATCTGCAGTTCTTAAGACCCTCAGTTGTACCAAAGGAGGTCATATCAAGACATTTTAATCAGTTCTCTGTTAATAAAAATGAAACAAACAAAATTTACAAAATTATACAAAAATTTATTTAAACACTCAGCTTTAACTGTACAATAAATCGCATCACAAATAATCACATTTTCTCATAGCTTCCCCCCTTTAAACATACAGTACTGTGATAAATAGAACAGCGACTTACTCTCACTGTCTGTTAAGGCATTACATTTCAGGCAAGTTGGGGCATCTTTTTTTTTTTCTTGCTGTACTACATATGAGGAAAACCAAATGGAAAGAAAAAAGAAACAGCTCTCTGTTGGAGCCCTGCCAGTGAAGGAAAATCTGACATTAGTCCCACGCCTGTCACCTTCAGTTAACGGAAAACACGCACAGAAATGAACTTTTGGCCGGTCTGAAGTCGTTCTCAAGCAAACAGAAAGTCATTGTGAATCAGAAAGAACCATGATTTCTGGATGAGCTCGCCAAGTTTGATCTTTTCAGGCTGCATGATGCAACCACTCTGAGACATTCAGGGAGAAACACTGCCGTCTGCAGCTCGGAGTTTAGCCACCAGGTGCCCTCTCCCATGGCTTTTCCAGGTCCTGTAACAGAGCAGAGAAGGGAGTGAGGCAGGGCGGGATGAATGCATTTCAAATAAATTTAATAAGACATTTGAAACTTAAAATCAGCAAGAAAAAGGTTGTTTTACCTTTTTAATGATGGGGCTTTCTGTTCTTGTCCAAACGCTTCAACAGGTTTTGCACCCATGGATGTCCTTCAGCAGGTACAACACACAGTTGCATGCCTTTTTTATGGAGAAACCTGCAACATTGGAAGGAGAAACTGGATTAAAATTCAGCAGAACTTCAAAATATAAAACAGTTCTCAGAAAGGTATGAACTGGGAAATGTTGAGGTTAAAGTAATCTTACACAGTGGCGCTGATGTCGCAGCCCTGACCGGCTCTCTGAATATGATAGCCCACAATGTTTTTGGGGATTAGGCGTTTTTCACTGACGCTCAGGCAACAGTCCATGATGATCTGAGCTGCAGGAACACACAAAAAAATAATAAGGATGAGCATGCAGATTTTAAAACCACGAACAAATCGACAGAAAAAGGAGACATTTGCATGTAGATTTTTCTCTTACCTGGTGCAAGCTGGCAACAGATGAGACCTAGCAGGAGCAGGGCTGCAACTTTGGAAGCCATTTCTCTGTGCAGTTTCTTTCTGTAGATTTCTTCAGTTCTTCAAGAGAGGGAAGCTGCTACTGTGTCAAGCTTGAGCTGCAGGTGCATATATACAGGTGTAACAGAAAGTGAAAGTTTGATCTCTCTTAACTAACTGGAAGTGATTTGTCTGCTGGCAACAGGTTCAAATGTGCCCAGACACGTGCCAAAAATCCCCTAAAGTAGGTCTTTACATGCTTCTCTCATTACTTCCAGCAGTCACTGTGCAAGAGCTGCTGATTTCAGGGAGAAGAGGGTGTATAATAAAAACTAAGTAAACCCCAAAATAATTTTGTGTTTTTATATGACTGATGAGCATTTAATGGTTATGATCCCAAAGGAAGTCTGGCATGAAGTTTATATCTTAAGCGGAAGTCATTTTTTCATCATATTTTCAATGAATTAAACCTTTAAACTGAACATGGGGAAAATGCATAAACTTTAACCATTGATATTGAGATTCTACAGATCATTTTACTTAATTTCATTCATGCCAGTGGTATTAAGAGCAGAATTATTTTTCTGAATAAATCAAACACTTTGGTCTAATTTAACTTTAATCCAATAGCTTTCCTTACACTTTAGCATCCTATTTGCACCACCATTTGCCTCTCTTATTTTTCTTAAAAAATAAGCTAAAGAGTAAATATCCTTTCATCAGCAAAGAGACAAGCAGGGCCAACAGTCATGCAAACACTATTCCAGAGCAAAGGGCAATGTAGAAAGATTAAATTACCAAAAGGTGATGTTCTGGGCTATGGAGACCCAGAGGGAAGCCATGCATGCCCAGGGGGGACATCCAGAGTTTATGCAGAAATTCTCCAGGGACCAGGAGCTGCAAAGCAACAAAACTTACAACTCAACGATGCTGTGAATATATGAATGAATATAAAATCTAATTGTTTTAATGTCTTGTCATATTGCCCATATAGGAAATGCATGATTATAACTTAGAGGCATATCGAAATGCTTAATGGCACTTATCCAAATATTATCGGGAAGTAAAGCCTTTATCTCGTTCCAATCGTTATCTTTTGAGAATTGCAGTATCTCCAGGTTTTATCGCAGAGACCTAGTGTTGACTTTGCTGTTGGGGATTTTTCTTTGTTGGGTAAACATTGGGCAACTTTCCAACTTGCTGTTGCATGCTTTTTTTTACACAAGTGTCGGCATGCATTCAAGAAGTTTTCCATCTGGGAGCGGGGAACCAGTCGATCAAGGGGAAAGGCCCCTTTTTTCAATGCAAGGATGATGCAACTTTTCAAATGGCGGTGAGGTGGCATGCAGAGCTTAAATGATCTCAGTCAAAGTATTGTCTCTAATTTTGCTTTCTGTTATTGTACATAAAACAGCTTCAACAGACACTCGGTAAGCATTTATGTGAAGGCTGCAAACAGCAAACAATGACGGTAAAAAAGGAGAAGGGTTTGCCTCTGGAGAGGGAGGTACAAACGATATTAATCATAGGAAACCTTAAAATACAGACAAAATAATTAGGTAATTAAAAAAAAGCTGCATATATAACTCATAATATACTAAAGAAAGGATAAGAGGAGGAAAATGAAAATCAATTATTTAGAAAAAAAAAAGTTATAATTTAGGTAACATTCATGATAAATTAAAAATAATGCAAGTGCAAATGTTTTAATGGAACATTTAAATAAGAGTGAATATGAGTCAATTTTAACTTCACATCATTGTCAAGACTCAGAACAGAAGGACAGACAGTGGGTTTAAGTTCAAGTTCAGTCCATGCCCAGACAACAAGGTAGATCCAGCTGGTGGTCTTCCAACAAGATGCAGCGGGCGTCGCCCAGAGGGTCCCAGATGCTGTTGCCCTGGAGAACATGCAGGAGTCCGAAGCCAGGTCACGACAAACATACCAGAACAGGAAGGCTCAGAGGTCCAGGTGTCTGAAGACTGTTCAGGCACACCATTCAAATAGGAACAGGCAGGCACTGAGATCAGACGGGAACAGGCAGGCTCAGTGGTTGTGAGGCAGAACAGGTCAGGATCAGGTAATTAGAAACACTCAGGTACGCTAAAAAACACTCTCCCCACTGGCACGACAGAACAAGAATAATCTGGCCCTGATGACTGGTAGCAAGCAGTTTAAATAGAGACTGGAGCAGGTGACACAGAGGAACAGTGATGAGAAACTGGGCAGAGTTAGAAAGGTGAATGAAATGAATACTTAGGCCAGTCATCAGTGCCAAGATCATGACAGTCATTTAATATGGGAACCAATTAGTCATGAAGGTTACTGTATTTTCTCTGCTTGAACTAGTAATGAATTTGCATATATATATTATGTAGAAAACAGCAATGAATCCTGTTGATGCATGGCTTTTTCCCAGATTTATATGTTGGAAACAAAGCTGCACATTGGAGCAGTTATTAGCCTTTTCCTGAATACAGGGCGTTTCTCTTGGTGCTCTTATTCCTCCCACTCTAAAAGGAAATGCATTCATAGATTAATGGATCCTGAAGGGATAAAAAAATGAATGGATTATTTGAAACACATGATTTCCACAAAGTATTTGTATTTGTTTCCCCTTTTGAATTGAATTTTGTGCTCTCTGTACATTTAGTGGCTTTTCCGTCATTACATTTCTTCCCAGCGTTTCTTTATTTAGCTCAAGTTCAAGCCAGAGGTGGTCAAGCAGCCCCAGGTTCAGTATCCAACATGTGAAAACGATCCAGGATGCAGGGAAAACCTATTCAGTTAGCACTTATGATCACTTCTTTCCAGAGGTGGCTGGATTTACGCAGGTACATTTATTTGAGCAACGCAAAGAAAACAGTGTACTCTTAAAAGCAGTTTTATTTTGATTTTATTTATTATCCTTGGGGCTGTATTGCAACTCTTACTTTAGTTAATTTCTGTAAAGACTATTTTTAAGTGTATGCCGAAAGATTTGATTTAAAAAAGTAGTTTCTGCCTGAATTTGTTATTTTGTAATCGTGTTATTTCGATTTTTTTATTCATTCTATAGTTTAAAATGCTAGAACCTTCACACACATCTCTGTCCGATTACACCATTTTTAACATTAAATCAGATATTAGGAGCCAACATTTACTCACAACTCATTTTAACAGACACTTTTTTACTGTCTGTTTTTTTAATGACCACTTTTGGGTACTATGTTTACCTTTAGTTGTTGCTTTTCAGACACATTCAGAACATTGCAACCTACTGATAAAAGTTCCATTTAGTATTTGAAAACATAAAATGTAATCATCTCATGTTGCATAGCTTGGAAATTTGGTTCTGAGTGCCTCAGAAGCAACCCTAGCCTGAAAGGAAGCTTGCTTTTACCTTCTCTGTGTTGAAATAAGAGCATCAGATCCAGGTCTTAACCTGCCTTTTACTCATTATCAGCTTCAGTCAAGTTCAATCCAGGACTTATGATGAATTTGAATGGATTTACGCCAGAGTTATTATGTAAATGCACAATATGTTAATTCCTTATATTATAGCTCAAATTTCCAAGTTCTGACGTCATGAAGTTCTCTAAGCTGGGCCTTCTGAACTATTACCAAGTCAGAGATCTAATGCCAACTCAGAAGCTTCTGTCGTACAGAAGTCCAAAGACAGAGATCTGCTGAATGATTTACCCTTAATGGGGCGTATCGATGTGAAGCTGGATGTCTCCAGGCAAATCTAACAGTGTGTTGGGTCAAAGCAGTTCGGAAACCTAAACCCGTCACATGAAGTTCTTGTCTTTGGCCCGACTCCCAGCAAAACTTTTCAGAAAGCTCAAGTTGTATTTCAGCTTCGCTGCAACAAACTTTGCCCATTCCAGTTCTCATCTTGACAGCTTTAAGAGGAGCTTAATATAACAATGCTCCCCACTGTTCCGTGACCTGAACAGCTTATCAAAATTATAGATAATATCAGACAAGCTTTGCCCTGTTTTTTCACTTTTAAAACATAAAATGTACATCTGCTTTCCCCTAGAATCAATAGTGAATCATGCAGCTAAAGACTAAATTGTAAAGTTCATGGAAATCTGTTTAAATTTGAAGATTTGTGCAATACATTTAGATTTATTGTATCAAAAGACTTAAAGAAATCACCTGTTTGTGAGGGAATGGATCCCTCATGCATGTCTCTCTCAGTGGACCAGAATTGAGCTGCTAACTTTAAACATTGCTGGTTATTGTATTTTCATGTATGAGTGATTTTGCAGAGCCTGAATAAGCCTGCTTTCACTGTAAAAGTTGGCCCACATAATGAAGCAGAACCTAACAGTGCAGAAAAGCGATATTATCTGATGATAATCCTTTACATTCTTCTTGATGTGGGCCACAGTAAACTAAACTGCAATTGGTTTAATAAGTCAGTTAAACTAAGCAGACCGAACAAAAAGCACCTTTGTGTCAATACACAACTTACAAAAGTAAAAAAAGGATGTATGAAAAAAAAATTCAAGGGGATGATCCTTTCATTCATTTACCGCTCAGACAGCCACTTCCTCCTCCTCCTCTGGCACACTTTATCCACCGGTACTGCTGTTCCCACACCTAGGATGCAATTTCACGTGATTTCCAGGAAGGTGGAGACTCAATGTTAAGGTTTCCCATTAAATAAAAACAAATGTGCATGCCATGCAGACAAGGGACAGAAATTCACAGGATCTGGTCCAAAAAAAAGAAGAAAAAAAGCTGAGAGAATTCACAGTTTATCCAAGCCAAGATCAGAGGAGCTTTTTTCATAGTTAGGAGCATGGGAGAGATAACAAATGCAGTTGGGAGAGCCTCCTGTCAGAGTACTATTATGTATGTACAGCTGCAGTATTGCTGGGCTGCTGTCCCTCCAGAGCTAAATGGAAAACAGTTAAGTCATTATTCTTGTATGTTTTGGTTGAGAAAAAGACTTCTCCACTTGGGGGGCCTTGATGGTTTCCTGCTTTGTCTTTCTGTTTTTATCCAGAATGCTCTTTGGGAAATGACTTCTTCAAAAAATCTGCTTATTTTAATGTTACAGTGCCTTAAAAAGTACCAAAACAATACCTTGTTAAATGATATTGTTTAATTGTGATGCAGAATGAAAATAAACAATTTTTAAGCCT